GCTCCTTCTCCTGCTACTCCTCTTCACGGATTCCGTCAGCAGTCTTTCTTGGAATCCGTTTCCAAGAGACAACAGTTTGCGAGCACGCACCCGACGGTGCAGAAGCTGAACGTCCTCCTGTCCAAGTTGCTGGTGCTGCATTCCCTCCCTTTCCAAGTGGTGGACTCAGCACCTTTCCGAGAAATGATGGCTTGTGCTGAGCCGCGGTGGAGAGTGCCAAGCCGGCATTTCTTCGCCAAAAAGGCAGTGCCAGCCCTGCATTCACATGTAGAAGAGATGGTGGGCCAGTCTTTGAGCATGTCGGTCTCTGCCAAAGTGCACGGCAGTGCCGACGTGTGGAGCTGTAACTACGGGTCAGGGACAGTACATGTCATTTATGGCCCACTGGGTGAACGTGGTGCCGGCACAGCCGCACCAGCAACTTGGACAGGTCACGCCGCTTTTGCCTCCACGTTTGCACGTCCTTGGTCCAGCAAAGATGTCCGCCCTCTACCACCTCTTCTTCCGCCGTGTCCTCAGCCGCCACCCCCGTGCCAAGTCCCATTACCCGACCGGCATATCACATGTGCAGGGCGCAACGGTGTCACGCTGTGCTGCACCTGGTATGCCTTGGTGAACGTAGTCACACAGGGGAGGAACTTCTGAGTGTAATGAACAGAGAAATCGACAGATGGCTGTCTCCGCGCAAACTGAAAATCGGAACCATGTTGACCGACAACGGAAAGAACATGGTGTCTGCTCTGCGTCAAGGAAGGTTGTGCCATGCGCCATGCATGGCTCACGTGTTCAATCTGGTTGTCAAGCGGTTCCTAAAATCCACTATCCCACTGCAAGACATCCTTAAAATGTCACGTAAACTTTGCATGCATTTCAGCCATTCCTACAGCGCAAAGCACACCCTCCTTGAGCTGCAGCGGCAGAACGGAATTCCACAGCATCGCCTGATCTGCGACGTTGCAACAAGGTGGAATTCAACCCTACACATGTTAGACCGCCTTTACGAACAGCGAAAGGCCATCACCGATTTCCTGATGTTACAAGCGGATAAAGGTACTCCCCTGTGTAACTTAGATGTCAGCCATTGGCAGCTCATGCGTGACACCTGCCGCTTGCTCAGGCCCTTTGAGGAGGCCACGCTATTCGTGAGTCGGCAGGACTATGGGATGAACGACGTCATTCCTCTGTTGCACGTCCTGGAACAAATGCTGTTAACAATGGCTGGTCAGGGTGCGGTAGACGTGGCGCACAGATCTCAACGCCACATGACCCCTGTGGGGGCAGGACAGGAAGAAGAGGAGGAGGTAGAGGAGGACATTGGTACTCAGGAATTATTGAGTGAAATGGGTGTTTTTTCCACTCAGCAGACAGGAGTGGAGGAGCAGGAGCATCTGGTAGAGGAGGAGGAGGAGACAGAGGACCCAGACGCACCGTGGCAGTATGCTGTGGAGATGGAGGCAGGGAGTCCCTCGCATTCATTGGCACAAATGACCCATAGCATGCTCGGTTGCTTGCGTAGCGACAGCCGAATAATAACCATCAGACAGAGGGATGACTTTTGGCTGTCCACCTTGTTGAACCCTCGCTACCGTTCAAAAATGGTGGCCTTTTTCACACCTGCTGAGAGGGAGGCCAAAATAACGTACTATAAAAACCACCTATGTAGTCAGTTGGTCTCTGCCTTTCTGGACCAACGTCCATCCTCAGACACTGTGGGCCCTGTGCGCTCGCGTTCCGCTGCCATGGCAGTAGGGGAGGGGTGGGGTGGTAGGAGCAGTGGCAGCTCCACCAGCAGCGGCTGCCTCAGTCTGCAGTCGATGATGAGTAGCTTTCTTCACCAGCGCAGTGAGGAAACTACTAACCAGCCGCAGCAGCAGCAGCATCAGGTGGACCTGGAGCAGGACCTCAAACAACAGGCTTGGGCCTACTTGGACAGCACCCTGCCAACCGAGGTAGACAATCCCCTTGACTACTGGGCAACAAAACTTGACCTTTGGCCCCAACTAGCTGAATTTGCCCTTGAAAGGCTGTCATGCCCGGCCAGTAGCGTGGCATCGGAGCGCGTGTTTAGTGCGGCAGGAGGTATTTTAACTCCGCGGAGGACACGACTGTCCACCCAAAGTGTGGAGAGACTGACGTTTGTGAAAATGAATCAGGCGTGGATTAGTCTGGATTTCAAACCACCAGTTCCTGACACAACTGACTAAATCCGCCATGAATCATGCCCCAAACATGTTATTATTTTTAACATAGGCCTCTGTATGGCCTTCAATTTAAGCTGCTTACGCTTCGCCACTCTGCCATGGGCCCCTGTACCGCCTCCTCTTGCTGCTGCCAGGTCCAGAGTGTGTCATGGGTCCCTGTACGGCCTCCCATTGCTGCTGTCTCCATCGCCACACTCTGCCATGTGCCACTTTCAGGTCTCCTCACACTGCTGGTGGGTTCCATTTTGTCATAGGGTGCTGGCAGATTACGGGCCTCCCATTGCTGCTGCCAGGCCCGTAATCTGCCATGGGCCCCCGTACCGACTCCTCATGCTGCTGCCAGGCCCGTAATCTGTCATGGGCCCCCGTACCGCCTCCTCATGCTGCTGCCAGGTCCAGAGTGTGTCATGGGTCCCTGTACGGCCTCCCATTGCTGCTGCCAGGCCCTTAATCTGCCATGGGCCCCCGTACCGACTCCTCATGCTGCTGCCAGGCCCGTAATCTGTCATGGGCCCCTGTACCGCCTCCTCATGCTGCTGCCAGGTCCAGAGTGTGTCATGGGTCCCTGTACGGCCTCCCATTGCTGCTGTCTCCATCGCCACACTCTGCCATGTGCCACTTTCAGGTCTCCTCACACTGCTGGTGGGTTCCATTTTGTCATAGGGTGCTGTATGGCCTCCCATTGCTGCTGCCAGGCCCGTAATCTGCCATGGGCCCCTGTACCGCCTCCTCATGCTGCTGCCAGGTCCGTAATCTGTCATGGGCCCCTGTACCGCCTCCTCATGCTGCTGCCAGGTCCAGAGTGTGTCATGGGTCCCTGTACGGCCTCCCATTGCTGCTGTCTCCATCGCCACACTCTGCCATGTGCCACTTTCAGGTCTCCTCACACTGCTGGTCGGTTCCATTTTGTCATAGGGTGCTGTATGGCCTCCCATTGCTGCTGCCAGGCCCGTAATCTGCCATGGGCCCCCGTACCGACTCCTCATGCTGCTGCCAGGCCCGTAATCTGTCATGGGCCCCTGTACCGCCTCCTCATGCTGCTGCCAGGTCCAGAGTGTGTCATGGGTCCCTGTACGGCCTCCCATTGCTGCTGTCTCCATCGCCACACTCTGCCATGTGCCACTTTCAGGTCTCCTCACACTGCTGGTGGGTTCCATTTTGTCATAGGGTGCTGTATGGCCTCCCATTGCTGCTGCCTCCACCGCCACACTGTGGCTCCACACTCTGGTTTTGGCCCCGTGACTGCCCAAATGAGTGAAGTGTGCGGTGATTCTAAGATCGACGGCACTCATCTGCATGTCATACTGACTGACAGTATTATTTATCTTCCCCAGCAGACTCCAAGGGCATTTAAATTAAAGGTACAGTGTTCTGCACTAATATAAAGGCTCTCTGAAGCCTAGAAACACCCTTTTTATAAGTTAAATTCGCAGCGAATATATTCGCATCGAATCAAATTTATTCCGAGAATTCGGCGAATCAGCCGAATCAAATTTTTGAATAATTCGCTCATCTCTAGCTGCCACCTTCCACCACGTGCAAAATAATATCAACCGCATTCACCTGATGCAGGTGAGTAATGAGCCTTATAGGATATAAGGGATCCTAAGCCCTCTAGGTAAGATCAAAACTTCTTATTCACCATTAATGGGGATAAAACGCCTTCACTTATTCCTCCATGAAATCCTCAATATTGCAGAGAAAAAAAGAAACCACATAGTGTAATACTGCCATATACTCATAAATAAAAGGATAAATTCAGGCCACTCACATTGTCAAATATAATAAATAATCCTTGTTTAATCGCATATGTGGCTTAAAAGCATCCAAGTTCCACACTCAGAAAGATACGTAAGGATCTCACGGTTCAGTTGAATAGCAGACGATGATCAGCCTTCCCCCTTTTTTGGCTTTCTGGCTGTATTTTCAGCTGTACCAGCTGTACCCAGCATTAGTCTGTTATTTTTCAAAAGAACAAGCTGTCCTCACAGGGGTGCTCAGGGGCATATTTACTGCAAGGCAAACAAGGTATTTGCCATAGGTGGCATTTTTGTTTGGGGGGGGGGTGCGGCACTGCTCCCCGGAAGAAGGGATTCACGAGGCAGGTGACAGAAGATGGGGACCAGGTGAGGCACTGCCTGAGCTCTTCCATTGAATCTGAGAGAGGCTGCGGGCTTCTAGAGAGTAGGTAGAGGCTGACTCTCCTTCCTGCAACACTGGGGATGGCTGCTTTCATTTTGCAGGTGGTCTCTCTCTCTCTCTCCCTCTCTCTCTCTCTCACAAAATACACCACTGGGGTGCTTACAATGACCAAAATGTATTTATTTATGTACAAAACCTGTATCCCAAAAGATAGAAAACATTTTTTGATGTGATGTCTTAAAAGTGTTAGCTGTAGTTTGGCTTTAATTGGTTATTGTATCTAAATCTGCTAATACATCTAACACTACCCTCCCCCAGATTAACAATGCTCATGTCCAAAAGTGCCCTGTGCTCCTTCATCCAGAGTGGGGGCACTCTAATACAGGGGATGGTTACTGGCCAGATCACCAAGTGAAATGGAGTGAAAAAAGCCAAAGAAAAGAAAAGAAAAGCAGCCACCCACCACATCTAATGATTGATAAGCTGTAACATATTACATTTATGGTTTTAGGTTTAATACCACTTTTATTCAGGTATACACTGAGAAGTTTATTTTTTTAAATATACAATCGCTTTTATTGAGAGTATAAAGCAACATAAAACAAATTACATCATATGAATAGTCTGTAGAGCAATATGTCAATGGTATGTGCATAGCAGGGGCGGACTGACAACTCATGGGGCCCCCGGGCAATAGGGGATCATGGGGCCCCTGTGTCCTTGCCCAAACTCAAAAAAGACTATAAAAAGGTACCAGGGGCATCTTATGGGGCCCCCTACTGACCCCGGGCCCTCGGGCAGTGCCCGAGTTTCCAAATGGTCAGTCCACCCTGGTGCATAGTCAAAGGTGCATGTGACTTAAAACACTGGAAAACCTAACATACATCAACTACGTCCTACCTAGGACCAATCTATATTAGTCATGTAAGTGGCTGTACAGTAACTAGACATGGGTACATATAGGGTGTAATGAGGAAAATAAAAATTATAAAGATAGATAAGGCATCAATATTCATTACATCCAACCAATGTTTGGTTTCACAATATAGTATCATATGAAGACCATGATTCCCAGCTACGATAAAAGATCTGCATGGTGTCTAAGATAGTGTGGTGATATTGTTCCTTCAGTTTAATGGCTTCCATTCTTTGAAATACCAAAGACCATGGTACAGTAGGATTTTTTTATTTGGGATTCATATATCTGGCAAAGGAGCAAAGAGATGGGACATAGGTAGTGTCAATGTCATTTAAGTGGCAGTAATTTGGGAAACATTAAATGTCAAAGAGGTTGAAGGGCTAGACTCAGGATAGAAACTTATGCACTTTTTAGAAGTAAAATACCAGCTCCTAAAGCAGGTCTCTGGGAAAATAGAACTTATGCACATTTTTAGAAGTAAAATACCATTTTGTGCAAAGTATCACCACTGTCTCCTTAATAGTTATTCGTGTAAATGTATGCATAATAGTGAGCATATCCATCCAGTCTTCTGTGGAGTACTTTAGATTAATTTCAATTTCCTATTGTATCATTGCATGGGATTTATCAGGTGTATATGTATACATATATATATATATATATATATATATATATATATATATATATATATATCATTTAAATAACTATAAATCTTAGAGATAACTCCTCTGTTATGGGAGGAAGTATGGCAGATCCATTCAAAGTTAGAAAATTGATCCCCTGAACTGAGTGAATAATGGGATGAGTAAAAATGTATAATCTGTAAATACTAATACAATTCCTATCATGAGAAGGCAAGTTGTTGTTAGAGATGAGCAAAAGGAACTAAAAAGTGAGCCCTGCATGAGAGAGTGAAGTGTGGTAAAGGCATGCATTTTCCACCTGGAGAAGTCATTGGGAGTGTGTAAGGTGTGGGAGATTTGGGTCCCCCATGTAGGAAGACAGGGGAGCTATGCTAGTGTAGTTTATATTTTTTGTGATATAATTTCTATAAATTAAATGTTTGATATATTATACTGTTAAGAGGTTCCATATATCTAGAACCCATAGTAGTGGAACACAATATTCCAGGTGGAATGGATGGATAGAGGTCGGTTGAAATAATAGCCATGGTATCTGCGTTGGGGAGGTATGCCATTGCACTGTTTGTGCACATCTGGCTGCCAAGTAATAGAGCCACAAATTGGGCAACCCCAGTCCTCCCTGAGAAAGGGGCGTATACACCAAAGCGGGGTTTTCTGCCCTTTCAAACAAATTTGTTTACCTTTCTTTGAATGGATTCAATAGTCTTATGGGAGATATAGAAAGGCAGTGCTCTAAAAAAAAAATAGCAGTTTTGGTAAAAAGGACATCTTGATGGCCATTACTCTGCCTAATAGAGATATAGGAAATGTAGACCATAACTGCAGCCATTGCTTAACCTAGGACTAAGCTTGTGGGTAATTAGCCTTGTACATCAGGTGTAATGATGGAGCTAGTCTGATGCCCAGGTATGGGAGGGAACCATCACATATAGAAAAGCCAAACCTATCCTTGATAGAGGAAATCATGGGCTGAGGAAAATTATTGGGGAAAGCCAAACATTTAGTTAAATTGACTCCCAATCCAGTAAGATATGTGTGGACTCTTACCCCCCATCATCTTCCCCTGCCAGGTATCATGCAATAGAGACCATGCTGTAAAAAGTGCTGTTGCGGGCTCTGTGAAACTTCCCTTGTTCTTTCTCCCCTCCCCCTGAGGATGAACTGCACTGGGGAATGTAGTTCTGGAGGATCACTGTGTAATGCAAGTTAATTGGCTGTAGACTGCAGCTCCCACAAAGCATAAATAGCTTGTTGGTGTATAGTATAATATAGCTGTATATATATGAGATGAATATAATAGAGCACTTTGTTGTATTGTCCATCTTCTTTAACCGCCTCCCGGTGGTTCTCTTGTTCTGATAGGACGTCATATGACATCCTTCCATTCTCACGCGCATGCGTGGCTCAGGGAGCGTGCAGCGCGGCGATCACCGGTGCGCTGTGTCCCTTGGACACAGCAGATCACGGAAAGAGCCGAAGGTGTCGGCTCCAATCACTGTGTTCAATCACAGCTGATCACATGTAAACACAGAAATACCGGTTATCGGCATTTCTCTCCTCTCGAGCTGTCACACTGACAGCTCGAGAGTAGAGGAAAGCCAATAATCTGCTTTCCGCGGAGGGGACATGTACACTGATCATCAGAGCACTGATGATCAGTGTGCCCTGATGATCAGTGTGGCCCCAGAAGTGCCACCTGTCAGTGTCCATCAGTGCCAGCAGTCAATGCTCATCAGTGCCACATGCCAGCGCCCATCAGTGCCACATCAATGCCACATATCAGTGCATACCAGTGCACATCAATGCCACATATCAGTGCCCATCTGAGCTGCCTTTCAATGTCACCCATCAGTGCCAGCCAGTGCCACCTATCAATGCCAATCAGTGCCACCTATCAGTGCTGCAATCATGCCGCCTATCAGTGCCAGTCAGTGCCGCCTATCAGTGCCAGTCAGTGCCACCTATCAGTGTGCCAGTCAGTGCTGCCTAACAGTGCCAGTCAGTGCCACCTATCAGTGCCAGTCAGTGCTGCCTATCAGTGCCGTATCAGTGCCATATATCATTGTCATGTAATGCTGCCTTTTCAGTGCCCATCAGTGCAACCTACCATGCCTCCTCATCATTGCCCATCAGTGCCACCTATCAGTGTCCATCAGTGCAGCCTATCAGTGCCCATCACTGCAGCTTCATTAGCGCACATCAGTGAAGGAGAAAAATCCCTTATTTACAAAATTGTATAACAAAAACTAACTAAAAAAAACTTTTATTTTCAAAATTTTCAGTGGTTTTTGGTTTGTTTAAGAAAAAAATAAAAATCCCAGAGGTGATTAGATATCACCAAAAGAAAGCTATATCTGTCTCAAAAAAATTATAAAAATTTCATATGGGTGCAGTGTTGCATGACCGCGCAATTGTCATTCAAAGTGTGACAACGCTGAAAGCTGGAAATTGGCCTGGGCAGGAAGGGGGTATAAGTGCCCTGTAGACGAGGGGTTAAGACTTTATTTAAAAATTTGATCAGATGCCTGTTCGGGGAATAAATGTTAGCCATGGTGTATGTAGTAGAGTTGATGTCGCAAACCAAAATGTGGCAATGGCCCAGTGGATCAGAGATCTCAAAAAACACAAAAGTGACTTAATCTCTTATAGCTGTTAATACATCTCTTTACTTTGTGTCCGCATTTGCTAGGAAAATGTGAGGATATTGAGCCACAGAGCACTTGGGGTGGTTCTGGTTTCGGAAATGCGTTTCTTGAATGCAGAGGACATCACAGTTGAACTTTGAAGCTTCTTTCCACAAAGACCTGCGTTTTGCAGGGTGGTTCAGTCCTCTTGCATTAATAGTGAGAAAGTTCACCGCCATTGTGTGTTTGATATGTAACTTGATAGGTGTGTGACTTGGAAACTTATTTTACTATGCTCATCCAGGTGTTCCAGGATGTGTAAGTCACCCTTTGGTTGCACAGACGTCGCTGCTGAAAAATATCATCCGCAATTGAGCTGGTGTAATGGTGGAGGTATAGAAGGCTCTGACTGAAACTGATCGGTTGTAAATCAGAAAGAAAAAAGTAGTAATAAAACATGTATGATGAAAAAACAAGCTACACGAACATGCAGGTCTTTTGGACCTGGGTGCAGCATTCTGGCACTCATGGTTAGAGGGGGAGAGTCCAGCTTACGAGCTCCTTCATTGGAGGGTCTGAGAAGGAGATAAAAACAAATTTTCCATTTTAGGTCAGTTATGAGCAGGGGTGGACTGACCATTCGGAAGCTCGGGCACTGCCCGAGGGCCCGGGGTCAGTAAGGGGCCCCATTAGATGCCCCTGGTAACTTTCATAGGCTTTTTTGGGTGTGGTTTAAGTGTGGGCAAGGACACAGGGGCCCCATGATCCCCTATTGCCCAGGGGCCCCATGAGTTGTCAGTCCGCCCCTGGTTATGAGTGCATGAATTTTTAGCTGTGACCACCCACCAGCTGTGATCAATATGGGCGGGGGCATTCGGAAATGGTGATTGAAGATGGATTTCAGGTAATATATTCCAAGGCTTTAAAATGGCTAAGCCCCTCGCCATGCTGTCAATCAGAAAAGCAGTTAGTTTGTCAGAAATCCCCATTTATAGCTGATCTTGTGATTCCTTAATGCTTTTGTGATCGTACTGAGGTTTTGGGCTTCTGAAGCGTGTAATGAGACAAGTCAGCGAAAAATCTGAGCTCTTTATATTGTGCTGGAATAAGATCCCTGTTGCGGACTGCCAACATTAGACATTCTTTCACATGGAAAAAATGCAGTCTTAGCACAACATCTCTGGGGATATGGTCAGGGAGATGGGAAGATTTAGGCAGATGGTGGATCCTATCTACAGTGGGTTCCAAATCTAATAGGTCTAATACACTAGTGCTGAACATCTGAGCTACATATTTCCGCAGATCATTTTGATGGACTGTTTCTGGAGTCCCCCTAATTTTCAAGTTATTCCTTCTAGATCTGTCCTCAGTATCCACTATCTTAACTTTAATGATGTCCATCTCTTTTGTTTTGTGATCATGAGCATCAATCAGATCATTTATTGTTGTGGCAAATTCCCCCATCTTTGTTTCTATGTGATCCACCCTAGATAAAAGTACAGGCTGATTGTTGGTAGGGAAGTTATCAATAGACTCAGGGAGCTCCCTAGTGTCATCCCCTGAATCCTGGATAGAGCTCACCTCATGTGAAGAATCCAAGCCATCCCTCTTCACCCTTGATTTCTCTGGGCTCCCAGAAAAAGGTGTAGATGGAGAAGACTATTGTCTCTTTGATGGGC